TAATAAAAAGTAAATGCTATAATAATAAAATGGTTTTTATTTATTAATACATACCTTTGCATAACATAAGCCATTATCTGTTAAATAATCGTCTTGTTCTGCTTTATCTATTTCAACACAAACATCGGAGAAGGCTGCTTGTCTATAATAATTAGAAGATGTACGAACAACCAGTGTTGGCAAATTTCAAGGTCTTTTCCTTTTTTTGAAGTGACCTAGGTCACTTTGTATATGATCGCGTGATAGATTTCATAGTAAAATCATCACATAATTAGGTCATTTTAAGGTCACTTCAAGGTTATTTGCCAACACTGCGAACAACTATTCTATTATCATTATCTAAGTATGCAAACTCAAATACTTCAATTTGAACTGTTTCGTTATCAATATCTTGTAGTGACCAATTTTTGATATTCTGAAGATAATCATAAATACAAGGTTTAAGTTGTTTGAAACCACATATCCATAACTTGTTTAGGTTTTGTACATTTGCCAGTTAATTTATGATTCGATCAATTGTATGTTGTATTATCTTCTCAATAACTTTTTTTGATGTAATTCCATTGTAAACCTTCTTGTATGATCATGATTGAATCTTTAATAAAGATATAAAGATATTTTGATGACGTACCTTTAAAAAAAATATTATTAAATATAATTAGAGTAATATAATACCAGAAAATAATACTTACAGTTGATTGCATTTGTGTATTCACATGACGCTTATTTGTCATGCGATATGGCTGTTTAACATTAATTTTATGCAGTAATTCATATGTTTCACTTGTAAATCTATTAATAGCCCCGAACTGACGAATTGATGATATTAAATGATATTGCCAACTGTGTAGCTTCGGTAAATTTAAATTAGATGGTAAGAACTTTGACATAATTTTAATAAATAAGTCACACTATGTAATTATTGATTTCTATTATTAAAAAATTAGTTATATTATATTTTTATTAATAAATTATCAAATTACTTATTATTAATAAACTTGCCTCAAATTCACGAAGATCTACTTCAGTATATTTGGGTTGACGGCTCCATATATACATATCAATCCACAATGAATATAGTTCGCATAGATTCTCATTAAGCTTTTTATCTGATATTAGATCATCCAAGACAAATAACATAACCTTCATCAAGTCACGATACTCGGCTGCAGTTAATCGTGTAAACCTTTCAAATCTGTTTTTGAAAACCTTTAGATTCAGATAACGGGGAATTTGAAAAAGGCATTCCTCAAGTATTCTTATTAAGCTGTTATTATACTTGGAATTTAGTAATTCGACCGTGAATCGTAATTGATACTGAAAAAGCCTGAAATCCGCATAATGCATACAATCGGGTACACACATAGTATAAACATTAAAATATCTATTAAATATAAAATTATTTATTAGCTTTAAAGGTTCATCAACCAACCAATCTATCATATCAATCATTTTGACCAGCATTAATAAATCTCATGATTACGAAAACACTTACGGTCGTTTCCACAAAGCATTCCTTATATTATATACTGAGATTGCCTTATCTTTACCACAACGTAAAGCATTCTTAGTATCATTTTCATTATGAATATAAATATCTTCTTTTGCGATATGAACATCATTCATCATATTACGTTGCACCAAACAGAAATGACATTGATGTAAAGAATTTGGTGAACCATAAACGCCACACATCATGCACACTTCAGGTCAATCTGCAATTATAAATGCCAAATATGGATAGAACCACATAAGACAACCATTGACATATAAATGGATTCCTGTATTACTTAAGATTCTCAATAGTCTCAATATAGTCGCAAGTGCATGGTGAAAGAGTTCACGTGATGCTGTTCGAAATTGTGTTGAATGTTTCTCATATATATTATTATATTCGAGATTAGGTATATAGCCGAGTAAAATTTTGGCATCAACCTTATTACGATGAACTAAAAAAATATTTCTGATTGTCATAAATATTGGATATCGCGATGTTTTACTCAAGTTGTCACAAAGAGTACCATCAGCATATAATATAACTGGCATTACGTGTGCTCCTATTGGAAGATTTTGCTCTACGTTTCTTCACTAATTAGAATCATACATATCTGTGTATTGATGTTGATTCAATGTCTTTGGTCACAAATTATAAATCAGATAAGTTAATACAACTTCCAACATTTCAAGCAAGCTATACTTACATTTTCAATAGATGATTTGTATTTAAATATAAAATTTTCAGTAATACTTTTATTCATCAATAGCTGTTATACACTGTCACCGTTCTGTGTTCAAATACATATTCTATTCCTTTGTATTCAAAAATCTTTTCTTTTCACCAACCGAAATTTGGAAGATTTAGGTTTTCTATAAATACTCGTCTGACCTGTGATGTTAACGGTAATGGATGATCGTTACGACTTGAGTATTTGTTGAAGAATTTTATAAAAGCGTTGGTAAGCAGATCTTGTATATGGAACCGCGTTAACATGTGCGCATATTCTTCTGATGGAAATTCTTGATCACATCTTCGGGATCACTAGGTATTCTGGTAAGTAGAGCATTGTATTCAACACAATCATCAGCATTAACTTCCATCATGTCTGACAGATCGGATGCTGCATATTCTTCATTGGCTTCATCGGATGAGTTACTGCTTTGAGATTCACTTGTATAGCTAGAGAATAGAATATCGATGTCTTGTCCTTTAATAGATTCATCTATATCAGAAGCTCCTTTTACATCAAATGTAACATTCTCCTGATCAATGTTTGGATTTTGCTCAAAATGTGTTCTCTTACAAGTTGTTTTCATTCTTTCAGGTATGGTTTGTCTTTCAAATATCTTTTTTCATTTAGAATTCAGGTTGTTTCAATTAAAAAAATTCTGCAAATTGGTTGATTCGACAAAGGTAAGTCATCATCACTATCGTCTAAATGTGTTTTTATGTGATTACCCAATGCCTGTCTATCCTTGAAAACCTTACTACAAGAGGAACACCTTGGCATCTCGGAGAATAAGCAGCTCACCACAAAATGTATATAGTTTACCGGGTTCGTGACTGGTGATGTACGAATAAAGTAAAAGACAATAATATTAATAAAGTATCTTGACTTTCTTGTATATATATATAAACAGTTATATTTGCCTTTAAGATCAAATTCAAGTTTGTAATGTCCAGAATCAGATTTAGTTTTAGGTTTCACGATCACACTAGAACACTAAAAAATATAATTAGAACAAAAAATATATAATAAAAATGCTAATTTTTTTATCAATCGAATAAATCAAATAAAATTTCATCACCTTTGAATTAAATATTTGAGGTTGAGAAATGTCAATTTTGACGAAGAATTTTCTACTGA